AATGTACCTGTCCCTTTAATCTTTATCACCAGTGAAGGATTAGGCTACTCATTCCTGGAGCTAATCCTAAACTCCGCCAGTCTCTATTTAACTTTGGGTTCAAGGAGTGACAAGGAGTATCTGAACCAATATATTCATTTTCCTACATAAGGAAAATGAGTCCAAAGAGGTAACATGAATTGTCTGTGGTCACATATCTAATTAGTGGCAGATGTCAGAAACGATTTTTGGTATTGTGAATTTGACTCAATATAAATTACCCACAATGACAACATATCCATAATCACTTAAGAAACTCATCAGTGGAGAACTGATTTTGGAACATTAGCTGGCTGAGAAGCAAATGGAAACTGGCACTGTCTCCTTCCAGTCTGCTGATCACACTTCAACCCATGGCTCCTCCATGTGCTACAGGCATGAGTTTTGTAACAGCAGGGCATGCAAAAAAAATCCTCAGGCAGTCATACCACTGCTTACACAGTCTTTGCAATAAGAGCCAACAACTTTGGGAATGACTTGGCAACCAGAAACTGCCTTGCAGTATCATCAACCAAGTTTCTTATAATGGTATTCAACTCACCATTGCTTAACTCACAATTTCCTAATCCAGCAAATGGATATTCTTTTTCATATGGTCTCAAACTGGACAAATTACTCAATGTGCTATGTGGCTTTAAAGATTTAGATTTAACCCAGTCTTTCCCAACAATGACTTTTTTGAGGACAATTCTTGGTTACATGGGACTACCCAATTATATTGCAGAAGGTATAGAACCATTGGTCCTAAATCCGCTAAATGCAAGCACAACAGCCCCCCCACCTTTATCCATGATTTCACTTCATGCAGTCAACAGAAGCTTGGAAACAGATGATCCTCCTCCTGATGTATGGTCAGAAGGTCAATAGTAACCTAATGCTACATCGCAATGCCTGTGTCATTTACCTCAGTTCATCTCATCCATAGGCATTTTATCATCCCACATTACAAGAATAAGGGTGAGTTCAGTACAATAAGATATTTTGAGAGAGAAAAACACCTATAAGATGTTTGACTCATGTAACTTTATTACAGTACATTGTTATAATTGTTCTATTTTATTATTAGTTACTGTTATTAATCTCTTACTGTTCCTAATTTATAAATTAAACTCATAGCTATGTATGTATAAGAAAAAATATAGTATGTATAGGGTTCAGTACTATCCACAGTTTCAGGTATCCACTCGGGGTCTTGGAACATATCCAACTTGGATAAGAGAGAACTTTTGTAGTCCCACCAGTCACAACCCCCACATATTTACAAATGACAAGGTAAGGTACCACCACCAGTATTAGCCTTCAGGTCAACCATTAAGTGAACTATAAAGTAATAAGAAATATTACATAAAGACAAAGATCTGACCCCATGTGGCTAACACTAAATACTGCCCTCTATTCCTCTTTTCAGCCCAGAGATTAGATTATAACAGTTGACCCTTGAACAACATGGGTTTGAACTGCATGGGTTTGAACTGTGAGAGTCCACTTATACATGGATTTTTTCAATAAATATTTTGGAAAATTTTTTGAAGATCTGCGGTACTTTGTAAAAACATTTTCATTTCTCCAGCTTCTTTTATTTTAAGAATATGGTATTTAATACATTTAACATATAAAATATGTGTCTATCAACTGTTTGTTATTGGTAAGGCTTCCAGTCAACAACAGACTATTAGTTACATGTGGATTTTTGATTGTGTGGTGTGAGGTTAATGCCCCAATGCCTGTGCTGTTCAAAGATCAAAAGGATCAATACTTTCTTTGTTAACTGCTTAAAACCTACCTTGAACCAGTTGTAATTAAGACACTTATGTGGTCAGTAGTAAAGTAGAAAAGTTACTGAAATGCAATCAGGGTATCTGACTTTGAATTCCAGTTGTGTAGCTATTTACTCCTTAAGCAAGTTATTTCACCCTCTTTAGGCCTCCATTTTCTTACCTATTTAAATAAAAGGCATTAGGCTAAATTATCTCTCTGGTTCATCTTAGTTCTAGAAATTTTCTACATACAACATAATTAACTTGCTTAATCCTGTTCTCTCCACCTCCACATAGCCAAGTGGGAGTGACCATGACACTCACTATCTTATTTTCCAGAAGAAAGGACCCAAAAGCCCCAGTGATAACAATATGACAAGACAGTCACATTTGCCAGACCCAGTATGGGATTTTACTACAGAGTCTGTATCTTGAATATATAAAAAGTAGCTGAATTATTTTATGATCCATTAATAATAGGAGCACCAAGATAATAACAGCAGCAATAGTCACCCTAATGTATCTTTATCTAAGCTAGACCTATAATCTCAACCCTGGCTGTATATTAGAATCACCTGATAGCTTTTTAAAACTAATGCCCTTGCACCAAGACAACATCAAATGAATCAGAATCTCTGGGATGGGGCTCATTTCTTAAGGCTCCTCAAGTAATTCTGATGCACAGTGAAAACCAAGAACCAGTAATTCAGACTTTTTAATCCAAGAAATGCAAAGCAAATGACCAAAAGTTAGTGCATCACACCTTTGTATAATCAAACATCAGTAAATACAAATAATCCAGTGTTGCTATTTACTGACATTATATAGAGAATTGTTTCTAGAGAAAAAAAGCTCTAGAGTAACCCTCTAGTTTCTAGCACAGATCTTTGAGGACTGACCCTGCCGGAAACAGAACATAACTTCCTGACAAGACAAAGCAATTCAAAGCAAGATTACTACAACTACACTCACCCTTCCAAAAGTCTTACCAATCATCAAGATAGGTAAAACGTTAGGTCCAAGTAGTATAGAGACTGAAATTCCTCAACCTAACTCTCAATCTCTAAATCTCACTAAAAGACCTAGCATGTAGGAAGAACAGGAACAAGTGGAGAGGAACATTTGGGAGATTTTCAAAACCTGCACTCCAGTTGTAACTTTATTACAGTACATTGTTATAATTGTTCTATTTTATTATTAGTTACTGTTATTAATCTCTTACTGTTCCTAATTTATAAATTAAACTCATAGCTATGTATGTATAAGAAAAAATATAGTATGTATAGGGTTCAGTACTATCCACAGTTTCAGGTATCCACTGGGGGTCTTGGAACATATCCAACTTGGATAAGAGAGAACTTTTGTAGTCCCACCAGTCACAACCCCCACATATTTACAAATGACAAGGTAAGGTACCACCACCAGTATTAGCCTTCAGGTCAACCATTAAGTGAACTATAAAGTAATAAGAAATATTACATAAAGACAAAGATCTGACCCCATGTGGCTAACACTAAATACTGCCCTCTATTCCTCTTTTCAGCCCAGAGATTAGATTATAACAGTTGACCCTTGAACAACATGGGTTTGAACTGCATGGGTTTGAACTGTGAGAGTCCACTTATACATGGATTTTTTCAATAAATATTTTGGAAAATTTTTTGAAGATCTGCGGTACTTTGTAAAAACATTTTCATTTCTCCAGCTTCTTTTATTTTAAGAATATGGTATTTAATACATTTAACATATAAAATATGTGTCTATCAACTGTTTGTTATTGGTAAGGCTTCCAGTCAACAACAGACTATTAGTTACATGTGGATTTTTGATTGTGTGGTGTGAGGTTAATGCCCCAATGCCTGTGCTGTTCAAAGATCAAAAGGATCAATACTTTCTTTGTTAACTGCTTAAAACCTACCTTGAACCAGTTGTAATTAAGACACTTATGTGGTCAGTAGTAAAGTAGAAAAGTTACTGAAATGCAATCAGGGTATCTGACTTTGAATTCCAGTTGTGTAGCTATTTACTCCTTAAGCAAGTTATTTCACCCTCTTTAGGCCTCCATTTTCTTACCTATTTAAATAAAAGGCATTAGGCTAAATTATCTCTCTGGTTCATCTTAGTTCTAGAAATTTTCTACATACAACATAATTAACTTGCTTAATCCTGTTCTCTCCACCTCCACATAGCCAAGTGGGAGTGACCATGACACTCACTATCTTATTTTCCAGAAGAAAGGACCCAAAAGCCCCAGTGATAACAATATGACAAGACAGTCACATTTGCCAGACCCAGTATGGGATTTTACTACAGAGTCTGTATCTTGAATATATAAAAAGTAGCTGAATTATTTTATGATCCATTAATAATAGGAGCACCAAGATAATAACAGCAGCAATAGTCACCCTAATGTATCTTTATCTAAGCTAGACCTATAATCTCAACCCTGGCTGTATATTAGAATCACCTGATAGCTTTTTAAAACTAATGCCCTTGCACCAAGACAACATCAAATGAATCAGAATCTCTGGGATGGGGCTCATTTCTTAAGGCTCCTCAAGTAATTCTGATGCACAGTGAAAACCAAGAACCAGTAATTCAGACTTTTTAATCCAAGAAATGCAAAGCAAATGACCAAAAGTTAGTGCATCACACCTTTGTATAATCAAACATCAGTAAATACAAATAATCCAGTGTTGCTATTTACTGACATTATATAGAGAATTGTTTCTAGAGAAAAAAAGCTCTAGAGTAACCCTCTAGTTTCTAGCACAGATCTTTGAGGACTGACCCTGCCGGAAACAGAACATAACTTCCTGACAAGACAAAGCAATTCAAAGCAAGATTACTACAACTACACTCACCCTTCCAAAAGTCTTACCAATCATCAAGATAGGTAAAACGTTAGGTCCAAGTAGTATAGAGACTGAAATTCCTCAACCTAACTCTCAATCTCTAAATCTCACTAAAAGACCTAGCATGTAGGAAGAACAGGAACAAGTGGAGAGGAACATTTGGGAGATTTTCAAAACCTGCACTCCAGGCAAAATATGTCATTTCCCACTTACTCAAAGCTTTAAGTCCAGTGATACAGGAAAAGGCGAAGCAATCTCAGCTAAAATTATAATTGGTCTTTTCAGAACAAAATTGGTGAACCCACAGGACGGGTTCAATAAATAAAATATTTAAACTTCTCTGTCTTACCTCATGTGTAAGGCCAAGCCATCCTGTAGGGTAGAGATCCCCAAATCAGAGAGTGTATCTGAGCCGACAGAAGCAGGCGACAGAGAGCCCTCCTTCTCCTCCAGTAAGTCCAGCTTTACCAGGTTGCTGATCTCATCCTCTGAATTATCTTCAGACACAGAGCCAATTATGAATCGAGAGTGCTGGTTCAGCTCCAGAGGTTTAGCTAAGGGGGATGGTTCAGCCATTATTCCTTCAAAATGAGCTCTCAGAGCTATGGGGAAAATGAAGAGTTAGTGAGAAAAGCAGGTTATGGATAACAACCTGTTTCTGAAGACAGCCACAGGTTATACCTAATATACCACAGCTGGCACTTGAAGTAAGACAGAGTTTGAGAATTAGTTTCCTTGGCTATTCTATTTCAGGGCCCTTGTTTTCTACAAGGGATAGAAATTCAGATTATGGCAACCATACCTAAAAATTTAAACCAATTCCCTTTTCCTCAAAGAAATCTCTCTCAAAAAACTTGTAAGCCATTCCCAATTTCTTTATCAATTTGGTGATGTCCAAGAGATAATTATCATTAATGGAGAAACTTTTGCAGTATGTGAAAGCTGATTTTTGTAATATCGTAATTTGGGTTTTTAGTATTTGGGAGAATGTGGGATAAGGGTTGGGGAGAGTGATAGTCATATGAAACTGAGTGTTTACAGTAAACTACATATCTCATCTGGTTCCAAACACTATACTGTGAGAGGCTGTGAATTTTACATAAGTGCATTTATGTATAAATATGCCTCCATAAAATGTTATACAAATATATAGTATATATACATAAATATGTGTATATTTATATACACATATGTAAAGCAAGCCACATATATACAAGAAAAGGTGAAGCAATCTCGGCTAAAATTATTCTTGCTCTTTTCAGAACAAAATCGGTGCACACACACACACACACACACACACACACACACACACACACAGTTTGTTATACAGCAAACTCCAGGTGGGTATTTTTTAATTAAAAACAAAAAATCTTTAATAGTCTCCATGATTTTTTCTTAAATTACAGCTGTTAAAAATTCACACACAAAAAATGTCTGCTTTTTGGTCTAATGTCCTGACACTGACAAGGAGAAAGTGAACCTACTATACATCACAAATAATCTATAATTAAAATAATGGAGGTGTCATCTCAATTAAGTACAAGTTTTCCAGATGTAGGGCTTTACTAATCAGGATGAGACACTGGTAATCACTAGCAAACTAATTAACAAAGACCAAAACATAGTTCAAAGCCCACAACAGTAATAAAAACCTAAATTAAATGAAACAGTAATTATTCTGTCACTCCAAAATCCTATAAAAAACTTTAAAACTGTATATCAACTACTATCAAAGAGCCTGTAGCCTGATCAACATTCTATTTCAGAGAATAATATTCCCAATCCTGATTTTGAGGAGCTCTAAGAGATGGTATATCAACTGATAATAATAAATTTATTACTAATAAATTTATATGTTGTAGACCACTTTGAGGTACAAAAGTAGGTAGAGAGTAGTGTTCTTTGACATTAGGTAACAAAATATCAAGATTTAAATATGTTTGGGAATCACCACTAAACATGTTTAAATTATACATACACAATTATTTGTGTGTTATTTGTGAATCAGAGTTCGTGCATTTACAAAAAAACAGTACTTGTAAATGTTAGAGCAGAAGTTCTGAAAGACTGTGGTTCCTAGACCAGCAGCAGCACCCAGGAGCCTGTTAAAAGTATAAATTTTGGGATTCTACCCAGGACCAACTGAATCAGAACCTACAGGTTAGGACCCAATAATCTACATTTTAGCAATTGTTTAAGTTTGAGAACCACTGTGCTAGGAGAATAAAACAGTAATAACAAATTGCCAGAAATGCTAAAAAATACCTACAGACATTTCCTAAAAGTGAGTTGGAGATTGCTTCAGCTAAAATTTAGAAATATAGAATCAAATATAAAAGTATTATGCAACAGAACTTGACATGCAAATTTACTATACATTTCACACTTGCAATATTTGGTTTCTTTAAAAACAATTTTTTTTTAATGTCTCCAAGTTTTATAAGGAGGCTCACTTTCAGAACCTTAAAAAAGTAAACCCAAATCATTTAAAAAGAGAAAAAAAGGAAGGAGGGGAAAAAAGGGAGAGAAGGAGGGAGGTAGGGAGCGGGGGCAAAGTTCTAACAGATTGACCACTGAAGAACCAAAAGGTACAGTGGCAAAACAGCTACTTCTTTCAATATTTTAGAGAAGTGAATAATCAAGTTTAAAAATAGTAAATTAAAAAAAATTCCAAACTCCTTCTCAACTAACACAGAAAATAATGGCTGCCTTCTTCACAAGAGAAATAAATACAGCACTGAGGCAGTTTCTAACTTAGAGTCTGACCAAAGTTAAATGATTACACAAAAAAAATAAAATTCATGAGAATGAAGCATTCCATGATTCCATAGGAGAAGAACAAGAAATGATTAGCTAATAAATGGAAGGTTCCATAAGATCAACTCCAAATTTTTCTTTCCTAGCTAAGAAGAACACAAAGGCAGCCCTTCCCTAAAAGGCTGCAAAGACTGGAAGCATGTCAAGTGTTTCAACAGCCAGCAACTCCACTAAGTGGTATTCTTAGGTACAATCCTACAAACCACCAGAAAAGAGAGGTCATGTATGGAAAATCACTGAGTAGCTGCCCAGACACTCTAGAAGCTACTCTACTGCCTGTCACATTTCCACTGCTTCTAGTCCTGAATTAAAGACAAACAGTGGTGGAATACTACACTATCTGACTTGTTCACTTACGGTTATCTCCCCTAAATCTGCCTATGTTCTTTTGTGGAAGGCAACTGTTAAGAAAAAAAGCCTACAGCTTAATATCTTAGCATATGAACATAAAACTTTTAAAAATGTTATCATACTGTAAACATGAAAGAGCATTATTTGTAACTGACCTTTTATAATTCTTACTGTCTGAGCAGATATCCACCTCCAAAAAGAACTAAAGAGAGAAAGACAGAGAGAGAGATTTGAAATGTGTGTGTTTTTAAAAGAAATATAAATTTTATCAATTCCTGTTTTGCTCAACATAGTACAAAACTAATACACAAAGTATCATTTTTCTGGACAACTCTATTATTTAACTTGGAGCATAAAGTTCAGTTGTTTTTTCATATCAGTAAATCAAAAGCACTATACATTCAAAATTTTATTATTCATCAAAGTATTAAACAATAATCCAAGCTTACCATTTCACAAGGTGCCTTTTCCAATTGCATAGTTTGATGAAAACATTCCAATCTATGATTTCCAGTATTTCATCAAAAAGGAGGCAGTGGGGAGAAGAGAAGCACTAGATTCTCTACAACTCAGTCAGGCTCTGATTATGTTTCCAAATGGTTACACCCATCCACCAAGGCTGGGAGGCAGGGGAGAGGACAGATCTTTTATTTATATTAAGTCCCTAAATTTTAAGGGACCAATGAAGTCTCTAGCTACTTCCTAAACCCTGGGTTTCTTTCTATGCCCAACAATTCAAATGTACCCAGGGTAGAAATTCTCAACTTCGACTGTGTATAACAATCACCTACAGAGATTTTTAAAAACATTTATGTATAAACTCTACCCCAGATGAACTAACAATCTCTGCTACAGGCCCAGAGATCTGAATATTAAATATGTACAATTAACTGACACTGACACAGATCCAGGCTTGAGAACCACCGGTCTAGGGGAGAGCAGAAAACAGAAGGAAAGACCTGTTACACAGGTAGGGAAATCTAGAACTTCTAAGTGAGGACCCCAAATGACAAGTGACAGAACTGGGGACAGTGTGGGTATGTTAACTGGGAAATTAGGATTTATGAGCTAGTATTATTCCTTACAATTGTGGTAGGGAAGAAAGATGAGAAGAGAAAGGAAAAAGGAGTTTGGATCAGATGTAACCAAAGATGCAGTGGGGCTGGAATCAAAACCTAGGACCCAAGATCAAACTCTGACTCTCTGCCAAGTATACAGATAGTGCTAATTTGAACAAGCCACTTAATGTCTCCAAGCCTCCTTATCTGTAAAAATTTAAAAAAAGGTCATATATACCTCATGGGACTGCTGTGAGGACTGAGAGTATATAGAAAGGGTCATGTAAACTATGATGCACTACACCAGTGTTGCTCAAAGTTTGGGTTACCACCAAGCAGAATACTAAGCAATCATTTAGTGGGTTACAGTCAACATTTTGAAAATGAAATAGAATAGAAAATGTTAAGAGTGTACCATATTTTATAAGGATAAATACTGTTCTGTTAATTTTTGTATCAGTTATATATACACATCATGATATCAATGACATCTTATTGAGTGGTGTCAAAAAAAGTCTTAAAGTCACACTCCTCACTCTCTTGCTCCCTCCACTTTATACCCTCACTAGAGAGTAAACACAGTGAGTTAATATGTAAACCAGTAATTCTTAAACTTTCTTAGATCAAGACAGTATTAGAAATCTGATAAAAATCTACGGATGCTTTCCCGACAAAAATTAAACCTCATACAAAATTTTGCTTGCACACCATTTTGGAATCCCTAAAGCTTTGCCATGAATTAGATTAAGACCTCTCTCTCTAGAAAGGGAACAAAAAAGGAGTTGACCTCTGGGGAAGGCTCATATAGTTGCTATCTTATCACCTCCAAAATGAGGCCTTTCCCCAGATACAGGTATAGGATATTCTGCTTATCCAAATGAAATTCTTCTTCATTATATCAAATTATTGGCAATGTCAAATTCTCTTTTATTAAAAAAAATAGTATGTTCTTGAACTCTTATTTGGAGACTCTTGAAAATAATTACAGGAGGCTCCCTAACTATAAACTATGATCCTGAAAATGGGGTAAAGCTAATTATAGCTCATACCCTTATAAGAGTCAGCCTCCATTTCAGAGATTCAGAGATAGTTCTCTAAATAAAATAGAGCAGATTTTACCAAACTTACTTAACACGTTTTCCTTGAACTCAAGTGACAGTGTATTTTCCAAGCAATTCTAATAAAGAGGCAGCAACTAGTTTTCATAGCCACTGATAAAAGTATCAAGGCTAACACAACATATTCTTGCCTTTTAAGCCATAGTAACATCATTTAAGTTTTTTCATAAAGAATCGTTGAATTTGTCTTTTTCATTTTTGTTATTAATGGATTTTTTACATTAATTTACTATCCATAAGAGAGTTACAGAGTTTTAAAGCCAAATTTCATTTTCCCACAAGTTTTAAATTTTAAAATAACAAGCATTCGTGTTCCACATAGTGAGCTGGATGATGTATATTCAAAGGCAAAAAAGATTTGGTCCCTGGCGAGGTGCCTATAGACACCTAAAGGAAAATTACAGTAGCATAGTAATTTCTAGGTGTGGGAACACAAGAGAAGGGCACTTTAGCCAAACTTAGAGGTGGTAATCGTGAGGACAAGGATAAAGGAAAACTTCCTGGAGTGGGAAGGTATTAGTAATGAAGAACTGGAGAAGTAAGCAAGAAGGGACAGGAAGGAACATTCCACGAAAAAGGAGCAAGTGAATAAAGACCAGATAGTAGAATATGATGACTTGTGAGAAAAAAAATACCAGATCTGAATAGCTGTAAGAGTTTCAGGTCATTTCCTTCAAAAGCCAATTTAAGATTTTGGAGTTTTTCCTTTTTGTAAAATAGGAGCATACTTCTTTAGGGAACAGTAGTCAGAGAAAATAATATGGCACAATTGTCTATACTGTTCCTTCTCAGTCCGGGGATATAGATTACTTTTTAAGGATGACATTGGTACAAGCTTTTAAGATATCTCTAAAAAGCCTTACAAAACTTCTGGGTAAAGATGGTGGGTTGAAAACATATCCACTTCTGCTCCTGCCTGAAATCCCACTAAAACAAAAATAAGTTTTTAAAAGGCATAATCTACAAAAAGACTGTTTCTTCCTACCCACCCCCAAAAAAGGCAGAGGAGACAAAAGCAAGATAATTTAAATTTTCTAGAAAAACAGATGGAAGAGTAAATGACCTATTGCAAACCCAAGAAAACTGAATCATAAGTCATCTATGGTAAACTTAGAATCAATACAATTTACATGACAGAATCTCCAAAATGTTCAAGAAGTGGAAGTGAATGATAGAGCTCAATAAAGAGGACTGGTTGAAATTCTGTTTCAGAAGTTTCAGATTCTTAGATTTTCTTTCCAAGTAGTAAGGCTAGGTGCCTGCTGCTCTACCATCCTGAAAATAGATTTATTCTCTATAGTGGGTTAAACAGGGTTTCTAGGCAGGAGATACCAGCAACAATAAAGGGGAGGGCAACATATGGAAAATGGAAAGACAGAGTAAACATTGACTAACACCTTGCAGTCTTCTTTCCCTAATTTTCAACTCCCATGGGGGATATAAGAAGATCTTTCTTTGCAGAATCTAGCCAGACCAAGGGAATAAAACCTCAAGTAGTAACATGCACTTCATTAATTAAAATGCCCAGCCAGATGATGTGTTTCACGCAATGAAGCAGAATGGCCTTGAACCAAGAATACTTCATCCCGCAAGATTCTCATTTAAATTTGAAGGAGGGATTAAACAATTTCAGAAAAGCAAAAGCTGAGAGAATTTACCTCCCACAAATCTCTACAGTGTATCTTGGAGGGACTGCTATAGATGGAAGTATTCCTAAGGTTTAATAGCTGTCACCAGAGGAAATAAAACCACAGTAAAGAAAGTAGAACAGTTAATTACTAAGCAAATGCAAAATTAAATCAACTATCTCCAAAGTCAATCAAGGGATAGATAAAGACTACAGAATATGATACCTAATATATAAAGAATGGAGGAGGAAGAAAAAGGAGGAGAAAAAGAAAAGAACCTTTAGATTGTGTTTGTAATAGCATATTAAGTGAGTTAAGTTAGACTCTTAGATAGTAAGGAAGTTAACCTTGAACCTTTGGTAACCACAAATCTAAAGCTTGCAATGGCAATAAGTACATACCTATCGATAATCACCATAAATGTAAATGGTCTGAATGCACCAATCAAAAGACACAGAGTTACTGAATGGATAAAAAAACAAGACCCATCTACATGCTGCCTACAAGAGACTCACGATAAACCCAAAAACATGCACAGACTAAAAGTGAAGGGATGGAAAAAGATATTTCATGCAACTAATAGGGAGAAAAAAGCAGGTGTTGCAGTACTGTTATCAGGCAAAATAGACTTCAAAACAAATCAATCATTGTATTGATTCTAAGTTTACCACAGATGACTTAATGATTCAGTTTTCTGGGTTTGCATAGGTCATTTACTCCTCCATCTGCTTTTCTAGGAAATTAAAATTATCTTGCTGTTATCTCCTCTGTCTTTTTGGGGGTGAGAATGGGATAGGAAGAAACAATCTTTTTGTAGATTATGCCTTTTAAAAACTTCTGTTTTTACATTACAGAATGATAAAGGGGTCAATCCAACAAGAAGATATAACCATTATAAATAACAATGTGCCCAACACAGGAGCACCTACATATGTAAAACACATACTAACAGAATTAAAAGGGGAAATAGAATGCAATGCATTCATTCTAGGAGACTTTAACACTCCACTCACTCTGAAGGATAGATCAACCAGACAGAAAATTAGTAAGGACACAGAAGCACTGAACAACACATTAGAACAGATGGACCTAACAGACATCTATATAACTCTACAGACAAAAGCAGCAGAATACACATTCTTCTCAAGTGCACATGGAACATTTTCAAGAATAGACCATATACTGGACGACAAAAAGAGCCTCGGTAAATTCAAAAAGATTGAAATTGTACCAACCACTTTCTCAGACCACAAAGATATGAAACTAGAAATAAATTAAGCAAAGAAAATGAAAAATCCCACAAACACATGGAGGCTTCACAACATGCTCCTAAAAAATCATGGCTCAATGACCAAATAAAAACAGAAATCAAGCTATATATGGAAACAAATGACAACA